GGCGCGGCTGAGCCGAGACCGAGGCGGCAGCACCTTCAAGGGGAAATGGGTCTGGGTCTGGGTCCGGAGTGCCCAGCGCAGAGCAGCGTCTGTCGAGTGACGTCTGCTCTGAGAAATTTAGTTTTCTGACTTCAGCCCAGTAGTCTGAGCTGCGTTTTCTAAGGATCGCATTTGTGGCAGTTCCAATTGCCGTGATTTGGTCTCTGAGCCCTTAAAAAAGAGTCTCATGGCAACATTGAGGTAAAATAACAGCTCTTACGAAGGAACCCGCTGAAAATAACTGTTTGACCGCTGGGCACGTTTGTCCTCCAGCCTAGTTGGCCTCGGGATCAAGCAAGGGCTTTACCCAGAAAAGGAGTCCATGCTTTACGTTCCAGCCACTTGATCCCCATTTCGTAGTCTGATATTTGCCTCGTGTTTTTACAAATAGCGTTAATTGATCAAATGGTATGTGTTTTACAGGATGAAGATGAGTGGAAAGAATTTGAGCAAAAGGAGGTTGATTACAGCGGCCTCAGAGTTCAGGCAATGCAAATAAGGTATGGTCTGGTTACAAATGTGTTAAGATAACCCTTAGGATACGTGGTGTATGTTTGGTTTTTCGTTAGCGCCAAAACAGCATCAGGCTGCAGATATGCTTATTAGGGCTCTGCTGGATTGTGTCTGTTCCTCCTCTCTCTCTGATGGCAGTCCTTCTGTGTGCTGAGCAAATTAGCTGTCAGCTCCAAAATCCTGTGAGAGCTTACCTACTTGGAATCCTGGTTAGGCCTTTTTATTGGAGACAGTTAAAATGGATTTTGTGGTTTCAAAATGTTCACTTTTAATGTTGATGGGTTGAACTTAGTTTTTCTTTTTGTTTCAAAAATGGCGTGGATGGTTTCCACATCCTCTCCCATAAGCAAGTTAGTAGATATTTTCATAGTTGAAGCATGCTTTAGAGAAGTATGGATTTTACTTATTCACATAGTGAAACCAACCTGTGTAATCCGCACAGTGTCAAAAAACTGAACATTACTGGTAGAGAAGAAAGCCCCCTTCATAACCCCTTGTAATCACTGCCTTCACCCCCCAAGGATAACCACTGTCCTAACACTACAGATAAATTTTCCCAAGAATTTTATAAGAATGGAATCATAGTCTAAGCATGTTATTTTTAAAGTTCAAGAAAACAGTAATTTTTAAAAATTAGATTGGTCAGTTTAGAGGATTTGAAATTAAGAACATTTTATCAAGTCTAATCTCTGGTAGTCAATCTAAAGATTCATGTAAATAAATGTCATATTTTCAGGGGCTTGTAAATTAGAAAAAACCGGTTTAAGAATAAAATTCCCAATTTAAAGAAATAAACGATCCTGATGTACTGCCTCCAGTTTGAAGCTTGTAGTTTGTAGATGCCAGTGACCACGTGGCACAGTGGAGGAAATAATTTTCCTTAATTGAAAGGTATTCGAGGTGGTAATGTTTATGGCTTTAAATAACTTCCTCACAAACCAGGGCTAATATTTTTGACATTTATTGAATACCTATCACAGCTAGGTCTTAATGTCCTGGGTTATTTCACATCATTTCATGAGCTTAACCAAAGTGAAACCTGATTGATAATGAGAAACTTAGGAAATGTGGTTTCTCCACCTTTGAGATTCCTTTGTAGTAATGTTAAGTAGAAGTGATTAAACTTGAGTTTTATTCCCAGCCACTCTTGGCTTCCTTTGTGTGTTAAATGTCTTTGAAGAGGTGTGGTTTAGAAAATATCCCTGTTTTCTTTCTCCTGGGATTTGACTGTAAAAATGAGGAGGAGGGGATGTCAAGTTCTTAACCATTTGGGGTTGTAGACCTGTCTGTGTGTCTGGTTCCTCCGTGTTGTAGAATAAGGCTCTTGGTCTGCCTTTCTGGACTGCAGGCCCTAGACTGCAGATTCTTGAAGACGTGAATGACAAGGAAGGCTAGTGTGTGGTCATGTTGAACTTTCTGAGCAAGAGTAGCACTTCTGAGGGGAGAGGTTGTCAAGGTCACTGAATGCTAGGAATGGATTTTGTTATGTTATGGAGGATATTTAAACTGTCCCTATTTTTCTGTCATTGAATATATAGTATATCTCAAGTCCGTATTCAGGGTTATTTTAATCTTCATTTTTGGCTACTCCTGAGATAGTGAAAATTTTCTTAAATCACTTATATCCTCCACCTTTGACGGGTATAAGTAAATCTCAGCTAGTATGAGTGTTTAAGTTCTGCCTGACCTGAAGTAGACCAGCTTTTATATCGTGTTTTTTCATTATTAGCATCTAATCATTGCCTCTAAGTGGCCATCCAGAGGTCTTCCTCTAACCTGCTAACATTGAAAAACATACTTTCTCCTGGAAGCTGCTTTTGTGCATCCTCAGTCACTATGGAGTCTGGGGTCTCTACATCTGTTGCCTTCATAAACCATTCATTAAAGGGGAATCTAACAGCTTCAGGAAAGGCTTGAGAGTGAAAAGCCGTCTAAGGTTTAGTAACAATGACTAAAATTTTCATTTTATATACTGAATATCTTTGTAAACTATGTATTAAGTATTCTTGACAGTGAAACTCAATAGGTGGGTGTCCCTAAGGATAGACACATTTGCTCATAGGAGGGGGAAGTAGGTTGCTCACATACGTGGGACGTGGGATGGAGTTGATAATGTGGCAAAAATATGAACTTTGGGGAGAGACAAACCTAGGTTTGCATTTAGCCTTGCTGCTTATGTATGACCTTGGGCAAGTCACTTGACTTTTGAATGTTGTTTCTTATCTGTGAAATTGAGACAACTACTCAGGTTTGTGAGGATTTTGAACAGGATGTTTGTAAAACACCCACTTGGTTAATATTACCATCTTAATTCAGTGGGTAAGTTAGAATGACTTACTCTTGGGAGTTTCTCTGCAGTGTAGCTGTGAGACACCTGATTTGTAGTACCACGTTTGAGGAGAAGGAGTGGTGGAGGCACATAAGGTTGTCATGATTAAAGTCAGACTCTGGTGAGTCAGTTCACTGTGGACACAGTAGGAGAAAAGGACGTGTTCAGGTTGGCATTAGTACAACCATACCAACAAAAGTCCCTTTCAGCGTGTTAAACATTGCTAGAGATCTGGAATGATTGTCTTCTATGGCTTGGTCTTACCTTTTGGGCAGAAGCCCTTAGAAGGGAGAAGAAATGAGATTTCCTTTTTCTCTGGGATTGGAGGTGGGGGTTCTTTGTGCTTTTAGTCTATCTTTTCTGTCTGTGAAAGAGGCAGCCTTGCTCTCTCAATATGGGGCAAGGGAAAAGAAACTTTGAAAGTTGACTTAAAATATCTTGAAATTCTCAGCCTGTAATCTTAAATTTTTTCTCCCAACTTTTCGCTTTGAAAAATTACAAACCTCAGGAGAGTGGCAAGAATAGTAACACAAGTGCGCATATACACTTGGCTTAGATCTACCCATCATCTTTGCCACATTTGCTTTATCTTCAGTTAGCTACAGATAGTGCATAGTCTTCAAGTTCTTGACATTAGTCCTTACAGTGTTAACGTGCTGGACCTACTAAGTGTACATTTGAAAGGAGGAAACATTTCAGTAGCAGCAAACATACTGTATTAATGTCCTCTGTCAAATTTACCGGCTAGCTCAAGATTTAAATACCAAGAGTATTATAAGGGCATGTGTCTAATTTCATGTCTGAAATAATAGATCTTGTTGCAGGTTGTGTCATTATTTATAGACAAGTTCTTGAGAGGGAAGCCATTGGGATGGTGATAAAAGAAAGGGCTTAACACTTGAACTTAGATTATTGGTTAATAGTAGGACCTGTATGTCTCTCCCATCTTTAAAATGGATTTTTGGGAGAAAGAAAGATTTCGTTTAATACCTGAGGTTACTACATGTTGAGCATTCATCATGTTTCAATAAAGAATTGAGTTCTTGGAGCCCAGTGGTTTTCTGGGAACCTTCTTAAGAAATCTAGACATTTAAACCCATTAATAGAGCTGGTTAAGTTGTCCTTTGAAGAGAAGAAATCACTCCTGCTTCCAAGCTGGATTCATTGTAGCAAATATTTGTGTGACTGCTGTGTGCCAGACACTGTGCTGGGCTTGGGGTTGTAAAAGTAACTCCTGCTCTACTAAGCACCAGTGATCATTTCAGTGATGTGCAGGGTGCTGTGGGCAGAGAAGAGGGACACTTAGTCTACCATGAAGGGGTCAAGAAAGAGACCTTGGATGAGGTGCAGTGACATTTTAAGCTGCCGGGCATAGCTCACCAGGCCGTTTCTGTCTCCCCATTTTACTGTTGTAACAGTGGTTGGATAACAGGATCAAACCAGTGGAGATGCCCAGCATTCCAGCAGAAGCGCAGTAAAGTCTGGATTTTGTTTTAGCTGCTCCCCCCCCCCCCCGCCCCGTGTTGGGGAGGAGGGGTTAGGATGCATAAATTGTCATGTACTGTCCCTTGAGATAAGGAGGTAAGAATGTTCTGTTCTTTATAAATAGTCTACTGCTGCAGGATGTGTAATCCTGATCAGCCTTACTAGAGAAAGTGAATTATTCAAATCTCAAAATAGAGAAAATTTCTGTGTCATATTTTAGAGCTATAAAGAGGATGAAATAAAATGAGGCAACCTGAAAGAATATGGGCTCTGGAGTCCCCTGACTTGGCTCTGCTGCTTTGTAGCCCTGGAGAAGGTACTTAAATGTCTGAGTATCAGTTTCCTCATATGTACAATGGGTCTCCTCCCTGCCTTAGTGTTCTTGCGAGGTTTAACTTTGTAGAGTGGGTAGAACGCTGCCCAGCATAGTAGATATCCAGTAAATACTCCTTTTCTAGCATCGTCATTCCCCCTACCCCACCAATAGTGCCTTACAGGTTTATGCATGTTTAAGACAGTGTATTTGAATTGTGATAATGAATTTACAGTAGCATTGTAGTGTTTAAAAACATCAAATTAGCTGATGAGAAGCTATATGTTTAGGTCAAACACCAAATTTTAGCCCGATTGTCTTCTGTAGAAATAATTTTTTGCAACATGTTTCTTGTTCTGGCTTTGGCATTTGGAAATTTGACATTTTCTGAAATAGGTAAATATGAAAAAGTAATAGAATATTTAAATCATTTGTACCCTGCCGTTGGTACTGTGGCATTTTAGCAAGGCTCTTAGCATCTCTGGGCTTTAGTTCCCTCTGTTGGATCAAGGATCTTGACAAGACACTTTCTAATGTTTAGTTTAGCTTATATTTCAGAATCTTAAGCCAAATAATAAGTTGTCTTTTTGTGCCTATTGTAGGTATACAAGCCCTCTAATTAAACAGATCACTGTTATTTTTTAGTAATAGTTTGTAATCTAAAGATATTTTTAGATTTGTGATTATTCATTTTTTTCACTTATCTCTGAGGATGAAGAGGTTACAGTAAACACTAGACTGTAAAGGAATCTTTTACTTGAAATTCTAAGTATTCTGAGACTAAATTGGAGTTTTTCTGTAAAATTTTTTTGTGAATTAGAAAACCAGTATGCTGTTTTATTTTTTTTTAGAACATTTGAGATGTCTAACAGCATAAATGTATAAGAATTATCCATAATCCCTTCTGCTTAGGGATAATCAGTATTAACATTTTTTAGTCTTCAGTTGTTTATTGCAAGCTGATGTTTCTGGAGTTTAGATATATTAATCATCAAATATTAAAGTAATATAAGGGAAAAGCTATTTTGGAGTCTAATACATATGTTTGAACAGTTGTGATTCAGCACATTGCTGAGTTAATCGTTTCAAAATGTAAGTGACTGGCTGGCAGCTATCACAGCTCGGGTGGATGAGAGTATAAAAGTGCCATGAAGGCACTGAAGTACTTGTGGGGGCCTTACCCGCCTGTCTGTAGGGATTGGGATGCTGGGACATTACTAACTAGTCAGTTATAGCTCTGTGAATAACACCCATACTTGTACACATGAACCAAGCAGGTTACATTATAGTGTAATTACACTGGCATGGCTTCAGATGTGGGTTACTTTAAAAAAAAATTCTTTTGGGACAGCTCTGGTGTTTGGATACCACTGTTAGTCTCCTGGATAGGTTATGACCTCCGCATCCTTATTTGGTCATTCATGCCACTTACAAGCTTTAGAAAACAGGGTCATACTGTTTGGTATCCATTTTTAAAAGTCCATTTGAAAAGAACGTTTTCATGTTTTTGTTTTTGTTTTTTTCTATTACAAAGGTGGTATATGTGCTGCTTGTATGAAAACTCAAGTGAGTATTAAAAAGCACGTAAGAGCGAACATTTCCAGCACTTTCTGTGTGCCGGCACTGTATGTCTCTTAACTCACTCGTCATCAGGGGCTCTTATCCCCATTTTACATCTGAGGAACCCGAGACATGCAGAAGTGAAGTGTTGTACTTACAGTCTCCTGGCTAGTAAATGGCAGAGCCTGGATGATTTGAACCGGGCAGTCTAGACAGCTTCAAAATCTGTTCATTTCTTTTAACATTTAAAAAAAATAATTCTAGATGTCTTTTTACTTATATTAGGTATATAGATTTTGTTTTAGTAAGTTGTTGGTTTACTATGACATGAATATTACCTCCATGTTAGTATAGGCCTAACGTTTTTTTTAACACAACATTTTATTTTATTTTATTTTATTATTTTTGTGTGTGTGTGAGAGGAAGGAGGAAGATCAGCCCTGAACTAACATCCATGCCAGTCCTCTTCTTTTTGCTGAGGAAGATTGGCCCTGGGCTAACATCTGTGCCTGTCTTCCTCCACTTTATATGGGACACCACCACAGCATGGCCTGACAAGTGGTGCGTTGGTGCGAGCCCGGGATCTGAACCCGGACCGCCAGCAGCAGAGTGTGTGCACTTAACCGCTACGCCACGCAGCCAGCCCCCTCTAACACAACATTTTAAATGGCTGCATAGGATTCTATTATGCGTTAAAGAAAAGGAAAACTGAAGGATGGCTTGGTCGTATTCTCCATCCCTTTTTCCTCTCAAACTATGGTGAAGTAAAATCACGCTATAAATGCAAATTGAAGATAAGTTTGTTCCTTTCTCCCCTTCCTGATTTGCCACCCTAGGCCTCTAAATTCTGGAATCATCTCTGGTTGATGGGTAATTCATATGATGCTACCACTATCTTTGAAATTTTTTATAAGTGTCTTTAAAGGAGACCATTAGCTATTAAAGAAATTTGTCTGGTAGTCGGGACTTGTTTTATTTTTATTTTTTATTTTTTTTTTTTTTAAAGATTTTATTTATTTATTTTTTCCCCCCAAAGCCCCAGTAGATAGTTGTATGTCATAGCTGCACATCCTTCTAGTTGCTGTATGTGGGACTCGGCCTCAGGATGGACGGAGAAGTGGTGCCTCGGTGCGCGCCCGGGATCCGAACCCGGGCCACCAGCATCAGAGCGCGCGCACTTAACCACCAAGCCACGGGGCCGGCCCGGGACTTGTTTTAATAGAAATGGAGGAAAAGCACCCTTAGATGTCCTTTTGCAGAAGCCAGTAGAGGCCGGGATGTTCCCATGGTCACAGGATGGGAGTCATCTGTTGTTATTATAGCCGTGATCGTGGGTCAGATGTCAAAAGGAGAAAATCTCTAAAAGGGTGGAAGGCCAGGGACAGAGCTGTAGGCAACAGCCATGGTGTTTTTAATAAGAGAGAAGCGGGTGGTTAGCATGGTGAAGGAAATTGACAAGTTGAAGACCTAGGAAAAACCACCGTTGTCATGGAAGATAACTCAGGGAAAAGGTTGGTAGTCTGCCAGGTGCATCAGCAGCAAGGGCAAAGAGCTGCGGAAGGAAAGTTTGATTTGGCAGATATCTCCCTGCCGTCAAGCCAGCGGGATACAGAGACAAGACACACATACTCAATAATTTAGAACATCAGGTTGACATAAAATTGTAATAAGTAATCCAGCAAAAGGAGAAATAATCCACAAAACCTTGGAGAAATTTCTGACTCAAGTCAATTCAAGAATAAAGAAATAAAAAATTGGCATAAAAAGTACTGCAGGCAGTCTTAGGATGGCATGTTACCACTGAGGATGTCTGTTGCGTTTATAATCACTAGTAATCCAAAGACTGCGTTCTTGTATTCTCTTCTTTTTTAAATGAGTGACACATATCTGGTGTTAGGTACCAGTTCTGTATGTTCCCTGTGTCAGACAGTAGAGACCGTCTAATGAATCTGTAGCACTGATATGTACACTGAACACTGACTTTTCCTCTTTGGAATGTGAATTAATTCTAATTTTGAGAGTATTTTGTAGCATGTACTAAGGATTAGCAAAGGTGAAATTATACAACTTTTAAAAACCATTCATTTGATCACAAAATATGCTACCAGAGATGCCTCTTTGTACACTCTGGTCCTAGAAAAATCCAATAGTTAGACTTTTAATCCTTCAGGTTGCCCTTTTCTCTGCATTTCAGGTTGGAGTGACTACTCTTCCCTCCCTCAGTTGCTTGAGCCATAGCTGGGGTCCTGCTCCTACTTGGGGCTGCTGTAACTAGTCACCTGGATTGTCAGAAGCCTGGCATGTCAGTATGTTGAATATTTCTAAATGTTCTTGAGTGTATGAGGTTTGCAAAAAGGAAAGTAGAGACTATCATGCCGAGCGGTTTTCTAAACCTTTTTCAGCAATGAAATCCTTTCACATGAAGTCAAGTGGAGGAAGTCCCAGTGTATAAAATCCCGTTTCTCTTTCTCTCTCTTTTAAACAGATGGGGCATTTGGGCTTCAAAGAGGTTAAGTGACTCCAAAATCACACAGATCAGCATTGGTAGAACTAAGGATTTGGACTGACAGTTTTCCTAGTGGTTCTGTAATTAATTGCATTTGCTTGTTTGCTTTTCCACTAGTGAAAAGGAAGAAGAGGATAATGAAAAGAGAGATGATCCAAGTGATAACTGGGAAGAAGGTGGAGGTGGAGGTGGTGGTGTAGAAAAATCTTCAGGTCCCTGGAATAAAACAGCTCCAGTGCAAGCACCTCCTGCTCCAGTAATTGGTAATCCAAATATTTCATTTTGATAAAGGTGTTTGTTTATGTGTAATTTTATATACGGTCAGCTTTCAACTAAATGCATGCTCGTGGTGGGGGCGAGTGGGGCTCCTTTCCATTCCTGGGAGAGAGAGGTTTGTATATGTCTGTTTAAAGACTTTCCACATCCTAACTAAAGGAGTTTGGAAGTTAAGACACATTACTTTTCTGTAGGCTGCTTAAATTTATGTGCAAACTAACTTGCCAAATTTAACTACTTAAGCATTTATTTCTGTTTTTTGACAGCTGACTAAGGAATATTGGGTAACTGGATTTCACCTTTGTGTTTTTTTTTCCCTTCTCCATTTAACTGGATCTTAAAACATGAATTCTTAGAGGGACGGATTTCTCACTCCCAAGAGGATAAAAAGTGGTTTTGAGGGGTGAGGAAACCTTTGCTCTTAACAGAGGTTAGTGGCCCAGCAGAGGGCCAGTCTGTAAACAGGTGTACAATGTGTCTGTGGTGTTAACCTTTCTTGGTGCGGGGGGCAGTGGTGATTAGGAAAAAGATGCCTGAAAAGGCTCCTTAGGAGGGCAATAATGAAAAAAGTTTGAGAAACACATTGCTTTAATGTATACCCATTATTTTAGACAGAATAATATAAAGAATAACAAATCACCCCAAATCTTACTGTCCAGAGATCACAATAACTACTTAATATCAACATTTTTGCATCTTTTCTAGCCTTTTGCTGTGTGTGTGTGTTTTTCCATTTAACTTTTTTTTTTTCTGCATTTACCTGTGATCCCTGATGACCTCTGATTGCTGACTCCAGTGCTGGAGTCTGTCCTCCTCCGGTTGGCCCCGTCAGCAGCATTTGCCACAGTTGATCACCCCTTTGAAACACACTCTTCTGCAGGCACCCAGGACACCATGTTCTCCTGCCACCTCATTGATTGCTTCTCAGTCTGCCTTGCTGGTGCTGCTTCTCCCCTGCCTCTGAGTGCTAGTCGGCCCCACTGCTCAGCCCTTACTTCTCTTTTCTGTCCACCCTTGCTCCCTTGGCAGTCTCTAAAGCCAGTGACTCTTAAATTGACATCAGCTCAGGCGTCTCCTAAACTCCAGACACGTGTGTCTTAACTGCCTACCCAGCATGTCAGTCTCAGCGTGTCCAAAACTGGACTCCTCGTGTATGGGCAGCCCCACAACCTTTCTCATCTCTGCTGTTCCTTCAGTCACTTAAGCCACAAATGTTGGAGTTGTCTTTGACACCTTTCTCTGGCTCCAAACCTAAATCTAATCAGTCAGTAAATTCTTTCTGGCTTTTACCAAGAAAAATTCAGACTGTTTATGTGACTAGTTCTCACCAGTTCCACTGCTGCCACCCTGGTTTGAACTACCATGCGTTTTGTGTGGAGTGCTGAGGTAGCATCTTATCTGGTCTGCCTGCTAATTTGCATACATGCTCTTCCCAACACACCCAGCAGCCGAAGGGGTGATCTTTTCCAGTGTGCCAGAGCACGTCCCTGTGCTGTTCACAAACCTCCAGTGGCGTCCCCTCTAGTGAGAGGAGAAGCTGAAGTTCTCAGTGACTCACAGGCCGTACACGTCTGCCTGTGATCCCCTTTTGCCGACTTTGTCTTTCTCTTAATTTGATCCCGGCTCCCTCTGCTTCGTAACTGTACTTTGTGCTTGTGTTTTGGGCCTGGAATTCTCATTGCTGTATATTGGGAGTCTAAGCTTTTTCTGTAAAGGGCCAGATAGTAAATAGTTTAGGCTTTGAGGAAAGGCAGACTGTTTCCATTACTCGGCTCTGCTGCTGTAGCACAGAAGCAGCCGTCAACAGTGCATACCTGCAGTGAGTGTGGTTGTGTTCCAGTGAAACATTCTTTACATACTCAGCTGTTGGACCAGATTTGGCTTGTTTGCCAATTCCACGGGTGTTTGCCTCCTCGCTTCCCTCAGGCCTTTGCTCAGTTTTCCCCTCGTCACTGAGGCCCTCCCAGACCACCTCATTTAAAAGCACAGCCCCTTCACCACCACCCTCCCCATCTCGTGCTCCCCACTTGAGTGTTTGGTGTGGCACCTCTCCTTGTACGTACTTTGTTCCTCCCTCTAGCGTGGCGCTGTCTGGTGGTACGTTTTCTGGAGGGGGAACAGTGCTGTTCAGTGTAGCCACTGGCCACGTGTGGCTGTTGAGCACTTAACATGTGGCTCGTGTGGCTGAGGAACTGAAGTTTTAATTTTCTTTCTTTTCTTTTTTTTTGCGAGGAAGACTAGCCCTGAGCTAACATCTATTGCCAATCCTTCTCCTTTTTTTCCCCAAAGCCCCAGTTAGATAGTTGCATGTCATAGTTGCACATCCTTCTAGTTGCTGTATGTGGGATGCGGCCTCAGCATGGCCAGAGAAGTGGTGCGTCGGTGCGCGCCCAGGATCCGAACCCGAGCCGCCAGTAGCAGAGCGCCCGCACTTAACCGCCAAGCCACAGGGCCGGCCCCATTAGTCCTCTTTAGAGTTAAAAAAGAAAAAACCTACATGGGCATTTTATTAATAAGTTCTTTACACATGGCATCTTATTAACCCACCAACGAGGTAAAGAAGTGATGACCTACCTTTACTGATGTGTAAACTGAGGACTGAAGTGGTCCCCCTCTGAAAGGCAGTCCCTGAGGAGGAGGCTGGGCCCCACGCCCAGCAGATTCCTTTTCCACTGCCAATAAGTTGATTTAGCCAACCCGTTTACATAGATCATTAAAGTTGTGCATGTAAGAGAAGGTAGAAGACTACCCTAGAGAAGTAGAATATTTCCACTTTCAGACGTTTCCGTAGATAAACTTTCTTCTGTTGTCGGGAGACCCTTCTTATGCAGGTGTCGGGTTTTTTCTGTAATTGTTACATGAGCGGGAATGCAGGAAGAGCTTATTAAAATGCCAGGCATTTGAATAGTTTCTCTAAACTGTTATGAAATGTTAGTTACAGAAACCCCCGAACCGGCAATGACTAGTGGTGTGTACAGGCCTCCTGGGGCCAGGTTAACCACGACAAGGAAAACACCACAAGGACCACCAGAAATATACAGCGACACACAGTTCCCATCCCTGCAGTCCACTGCCAAGCATGTAGAGAGCCGGAAGTAAGTACGCTAGTTACTCCATTTTGTTTTGGAGCCCAGTCCCTTGTCCAGGGAACGGGATGTAGGGGATAAGAAAACCCACCTGGGGATTACTTCTTATTGGGAAAGCCCAGGCTACAGCTGACAGGCAGCTGAGAATTAGGGTGGGATTTCTGTGCCCAGGGCGGGCGATGAGGGGAAGGGCCCTGGAGGAGGCGAGGGAAAAGATCACCAAAGACAGACTTTGTCTACAAAAATGTCTCTTCTCCCTGGGTTCTATTGTTCTAGAGCAATGACAAGTCTCGTCTAGTTAGAATTCTTTATAAGTACGTTATTGCTGGTTTATGTTCCTTATAATACAGAAACTGGAACGGTAAGAGCAGCGTTTCATGGCTTTCCCAGTTACTGTGAACAGGTGAAAGGTGTTGGCAGTTATAAATCTAACATGAAAACAATCTTATTTCAGCAGGTACCTAAAATGAGTGCTACCTGGAGTCAAATGACCACATATGGCACATCCACATCTTATTTAGGGAAATGAATTTTTAAAAAGTAAATAAAACGGGAAGACATGTAAATGACATCAGATGCAAATACTGTTTTTTTGGGTGGCTTTTAAAGTAAATCCCAGCCTTTTTGCCTCTTTGAGAGCACAGCTGGCTTGAATTTAAACCTCCACTTGAACTTGCCTCTCTGCCGTGTCCTCCAAAGTGAGGGGCAGTGATTCACCACACGCGTCTTTCTTTATCTGATCCACTCCCGTAAAGTAGAAGTGAGAAGAAATCTTTGAATAATGAGTAGAACTTTACTTGAATGAGGAAATGGTTGCCCTTACTTATGCATAAAGAAAGAGAGGTACATTGTCTATTATTTGCAAAAAGTAGAAGGAATCACCATGTCATTATTAGATGGCTTTCTACCTTGCCAGTTGTCTTCAAGTTGGTCCCAAAATAGGTTTGCAATTCATAGTATTCAGATTTGCTCCCACAGGAAATAGGACCATCGAGCTTCAGTACAGGATGCTGTGTGTTCTGTTTCATTGAGGCCTTAAAAATGGTCTGATAAGGATTTTATATACAGATTTTCTGCTGTTCCTCCCTCAAGATTCTTCTAAGGGATGGCTTTTTTTTTTTTTTAATTCAAGGAAGAATATTTTTGAAACAACCTAGTGAAGAAGAAATATTTACTGATTACATTTCTGTTCCTTTAAGGATAAAGAAATGGAGAAGAGCTTTGAAGTAGTCAGACACAGAAGTAGAGGTAGGGATGAGGTTTCAAAAAGCCAGGCCCTCAAACTGCAGCTAGACAACCAGTGGGCTGTGCTGGAAGGTCAGAGAAGCAGCCACACACAGTACAGTTAGGGAATGGTCTTTGCTAACCCTTCTGAGGTAACTAGACCACGGCTAACCACCAAGAACAGCCCTCCTTCATCTGATCTCTGCTGGATCTACACCCGATACAGACCACTCGGTGTAAGGGACCAGCCCTAATGTGCCATGGGAGTTTACTGCTTTTTATGTATATTGGATTTAGGGGAATTTTCATTGTTATGTAAATGCATGAACTAGATTCAGCAGTGTTCTTTCATAATTACTCTGCAAATACAAAACAAAAACTGCAGCCAGTGTTCATTTCACAATCTTTTTATGTTCAGATACTGAGCCTTCGTAAGGGTTGACTACCTCAGATTTGCTGCACTCATTGTGGACTTCGTGTGGATCACAACTTCTGGATGAGAAGGTTACAGCTATTAAGTGTTGATGTGAAACTTGAAACCAGCTCTACTGGATTCCTGTCAGAAATCCTGAAGAAAGTCAGCCATCGGGGTTCTGATCTGCTGTAAAAGAGGAAGATTTAAGTGACCTTAATTAACCTGTCCTGTGCCCCACCCTTTAGGAATATTCTCTCCAGGGCTGTGGCTGTATTAGACTTCCGGAACATACCGCTCTCAAAAGAACTGATGTGTTCAGATAATCTGTGTAGGGCTGTGATTTATAATTTAAACTTTGAGTTGTATTCTGAGGTAACCACAAATTAAATGCAACCAAACTTGGGTCCACCAAGTGGGAAAGGGGGTGGGGGAGAGAATAATCTTGTTTCTTTTAGTAATTTTTTATTTGGGTAGTGCTTTTTCTGTGTTCCACATTAAGGCCTTTTTTTGCTTTGACTTGGAATAAGTCCTTTGACAGAGCATATTGCTTGGTTAACTAAGGAACATGAAATATGCGTTAGAATTGTGAAATGTCTCGTGAATTTGCCAGTCCCTAGAGTGGAACCAAATAGCCTTTGATGTAAAGGGCAGTGGATGCAGGGGGCTCTACTTCAGGTGCTGCTAAAGCCTCCTCTAATCAGGTTGAAATTGCAGAGGAAACTGCAGTGGAGCGAGTGTGGTTTCTGCTCAGGCCAGGGGATTCACTGACTTGTCCTTGTAAATGCAAAGCAACGTGAGCAGAACCTCAGCCCAAAACCCACTTAAGTGTCATGGATCTTGCCTGATCTTTGACAGGAATTCCAGATACACTTGTGCCCAAATTTTTAAGGTATTGGACGTTCTGTAGATGCAGTGATTGTCCAGCTTAGCTCTGTTATCAACCTTCTGGTGTGTCTGTACGTTGTTCATTTGGAGAGTCAGGGGCAAAAGACAGGTGATGTAGCACTTCTGTTTTTAATAATTACAGCTTAAACTATCCAGTAATTTTTAGTCCTTAAAACGGACTGCAGGAAACTGCCCAGGATTACTGAAGTCTTTCCATCTAACGAGATAGTCTGGTAATTTCTTAGTTTTGTATCTTTGGTTCAATAGAAATATTTCAAAGTGGTGTGTGACCACTTGATGCAGAGTCTGGGTTGCTCTATAATAAATCCTTTTGCCAAATGCCGGAGTTGCAGACTTGCTACTGGCGAGAGTGAAGCGAATGGGTGAGTAGAACTATGCTGATGTGGGAGCATTTTCCTGTAGGAGTTCAGTCTTGATGAAAGTGTCCATGTGGGAATCGGACTCCTCGGAGGGTCACAGTATCTCCTGATGGGACCTGCCAGCCACAGCTGGGCAATAATGCTGGCATTTTCTGAGTTGGCAGGAGGATGGCTGCCTTCTGATGTATTTGGGTGATGAGCCAGCCAAGGAGAGGTTGGATGATTAAGTGAGAATACAAGGGATTCTTGGTTAAACTGAAGACTCCGTTTGGGAACCAAAAATCTTAACAAATAATCTCTTGGACCTTGAGCCACGTATTTCCCCAGAAAAGTATGCATTTTTTTCTAGCAAAATTTTGTTGGGGGTTGTGTTATTGAAGAATGAACTGAGATGAATATGTGGAACTGTTATTTAATGGTATACTGTACAGAAATCTGAAGACCTTCAGGAGATTTAAAATTCTAACTCTTGTTAAAACTTTTTAAAAGATTGTGAAATTATCAAAATGCACATGAATCAAGTTTTAATATACTGTATGATGGGTGGATGAGGCTGTCCATTGTACCATTCTTTCTTTGAATTCTCAGGCATGGTTTGGCAGTGCAAGAACTCTGTAACATTAACAAATTCAATAAAAAGTAAATATATGGATTTTGGAGTCTGATAGTTTTTATTCTTAACCCTTAATCTATCTTTGAAAATGGTAAATTGATGTCATGCCTCCTTTGCTGTTTGAGGATGATAGTATTCTCATCTCAGGAGTGAACTTTTCTGTTTGAGAAATGTTTGCAGAGTACTCTGAATGTTAAAAAGACGGGCTTGGAATGAAACTGGTTGCAAAGCTGTGATGAATATTCTTTTATAAAGATAAAGCTTTGAAATACTCTTTTGTGTTTGTTAACTATATTAAATTTTGTTTTAAACCATGGCAAGGGAGGGGCCGGCCCCATGGCTTAGCAGTTAAGTGCCCGCGCTCCGCTGCTGGCGGCCTGGGTTCGGATCCCAGGCGTGCACCGACGCACAACTTCTCCGGCCATGCTGAGGCCACGTCCCACATACAGCAACTAGAAGGATGTGCAGCTATGACATACAACTGTCTACTGGGGCTTTGGGGGGAAAAATAAATAAATAAATAAAATTATAAACCGTGGCAAGGGAATCTACCATCTTTACTATGTAGGCTAAAGATTTGAGGGCTTGTCCTTTGAGAAGCTTATAAAAAATTCTCAAATGAACAGACATTTTCAATTTCAGGTTTTAGTCTGAATTATAGTCCCTAAATTTCTAAACTAGATCAAGTTTATTTCAAGTCATTTTTGGTAATGGAGTTTACATGTTTAATGTTAACAGATTACAATTTGGTCATTCTTTGTACTTGATTGAGATTTTTCTTGACAGCCCTATTTAAAATAGAACACTCAAGAAAGCTCACACTCTCTGTCACTCTTCTATCCTTTAAGTTCCTCCCTAGTTTTTTTTTAGCTAACTTTTTTTGTCTGAGATAAAACTTATCCTTTTAAAGGTTACAACTAAGTGGTTTTTAGTATATTCTCAAAGTTGTGCAACTATCACCACTCTAATTCCAGAATGTGTTCGTTATCCCAAAAAGAAGTCCCATACCCATTAGCAGTCCTTCCCCACTTCCCCCTCAGATCCCCCAGCCCTAGGCAACAGCTGTTCTTTATGTCTTGATGTGAATTTCTCTGTTCTGGACATTTCACGTAAACAGGGCTATCCAATATGTGCTCTTTTTTGACAGACTTTAACTTGGCGTATTTTTGAGGATCATCCTTGTAGCATGTATTTCATTCCTTTCTATTGCTAAATAGTCAATTGTGTGGGTAAACCATATTTCATGTATGTATTCATCAGTTGATGAAGATTTGGGTTGTTTCCACTTTGTCCTTGTTATGAATAATGCTGCTGTGAACTTTCATGTACAAATTTTTGTGTCAACATGTTTTCAGTTCTCTTGGGTGTATATCTAGGGGTGAAATTACTGGACCATATGGTAACTTTTTGAGTAACTGCCAAACTCTTCCAAAGTGTCTGCACCACATATTACATTCCCACCAGCAGTGTCTGAGGATTCCAATTTCTCCATATCCTCATAATTACTTGTTACCTGACTTTTTAATTGTAGTCGTAGTTGATGTGAAGTGGTATCTTGTGGTTTTGCTTTGCATTTCTGTAATAACTAATGATGTTGAACATCTGTGTGCTTATTGGTCATTTGTATATCTTAGGGAAAATGTCTATTCAAATCCTTTGCTAATTTTTTAATTGAGTTTTTTGTCTTTTTATTATTGAATTGTAAGAGTTCTTTATATATTCTGGATACTAGTCCCTCATCAGATCCATGATTTGCAAACATTTTCTCCCATCTCCACTTTCTTGATAGTGTCTTTTGAAGAGCAAAAGTTAATTTTGATGAAACCTAATTTCTTTTTTCTTTAGTTGCTTGTGCTTTGGGTGTATCTAAGAAATCATTACCTAACCAGGGTCACAAAGATTGATGCTTATTCTACGAGTTCTGTAGTTTTAGCTCTTTCATTTAGATGTTGGATCCACTTTGAGTTAGTTTTTGAATGTGGTGTGAGGTGGTAGTCTAACTTTACTCGTGTACATGTGGATATACAGTTGTCCAGCACCATTTGTTGAAAAGCCTCCGTTATTTGGCACACTAAACATTTTCCTTGTCTATCTCCCTCTCCTGGAATGTGAAACTGGTGTGGAGTAGAAACATGTAGGAAGGGATGTCAGGAGTTTGGGAGTGGGATAGGAACTGGGGAGAGAGGTCAGGCTGAGTGTGGTAAACTGATGGGAGGATTGAGGTCAGAATCTATTTCCAGGGTGGAGACAAGTTAATGGGGTAATCAGAGCTCAGAAGGCGAAAATAGAGAATCATATAAACAGATATTCTAATAACTAGTGTCCTGAAACTGCAAGTTTGTAATTCATCACCCAGCTACTGTCACTAGGCATTAATGGGGCCTGCAGTGCAGGTAAGTTATGAATTGCTTCTCGAGCTTGATAATCAAGGTAGTGAATATTATGAAAGATATATTAATCGAAGAAGTAACTGCTTTAACTAAGCATTTTTATTATCTAAAAAGGAGAAGAATCACATTCACATCACGGATTTAGGATATATGTATATAAGTAATCATTAAGGTAGTTTAAGCCTTTTGAAATTGCAGCCCAAGTGAGAACTAGAATACTCAAGAACTGGATGTAGAAACACAGAAGCTAGGTGGAACTTACGCTGTCAACACTCTTCCGTGACTACCCTCCGCACTGTATACCCTCCCCCAACTGAACACGGGTCCAGTCAGCATGCGGCAGGAAACTTCTGTAAGAGTAAGAGCCTTAGTCTCCAAATACAACGGAAAATTGTGTGTGAGTGTGCGGCAAACAGCATCCATAGTCTGTCTGAGTTGCTACTTGGCCTGAGCAGACGGCGTCAGTATCAGGTGAGAAGCTGGGTTAACGACTGAGGAGGAGGCAGTCTCACTAAAAACGGTAGCAGATTAACAGAGGGAATGACTTAAAAAGTTCATTGCAAAAATTTAGTGTGATGTTCTGCATTTTGCAGTGACGTTTTAGGAAACATGATCTGCTTTTGACCCCAAGCTCTGAATTTAAAACTTAAACTAGTGTAGTTTACCTTTTCTTACCTTGTATGACAGAGCATCTAGCAATAGTTTTCTATATCATCTCTTAACTCCTGTTGGATGATTTTACCTCCCCCCTCCCCGAAAACTGAAACTTTGATTTTTAATCTTTTTGTGTGGGGAGGCAAGATGTACAAAATAAACTCATGATTGTTTTGAATGTTAGCGTATGGAAACAACACCTTCCTTCAGGACAGACTGCGCCCCTCATTTTTAACTCCACAGTGGAGGTAGTATATCATCCCTCAACAAGACTGCCACTTGAGGGCCGGCCCCGTGGCTTAGCGGTTAAGTGCGTGTGCTCCGCTGCTGGCGGCCTGGGTTCAGATCCCAGGCGTGCACCGACGCTCCACCTCTCCGGCCATGCTGAGGCCGCGTCCCAAATACAGCAACTAGAATGATGTGCAGCTGTGACATACAACTATCTACTGGGGCTTTGGGGGAAAAAAAAAGGAATAAATAAAAATTAAAAAAAAAAAAAAAGACTGCCATTCGAGTCTTTATCCTGGATGAGCAATGTTCTTTATAAGAAGTAGGGCAACCATACAGGTCATGTCCATGGTTCTCAAACTGCTGTATTTTGGAATAACCTGGAGATCTTTTAAAAACACGGATGCCAGGCCGGCCCTGTGGCTTGGTGGTTAAGTGCACGCGCTGCGATGCTGGTGGCCCGGGTTCGGATCCCGGGTGCGCATCGAGGCACCACTTCTCCGTCCATCCTGAGGCCGAGTCCCACATACAGCAACTAGAAGGATGTGCAGCTATGACATACAACTATCTACTGGGGCTTTGGGGGGGAAAAATAAAATAAATAAAAAAAAAAATCTTAAAAACACGGATGCCTGACTCCCATCCCCTGGCATTCTGATTTAATTGGTATGGGTGTGACGTGCACACAGGGGTTTTGTTTTTTAAGTTCTCCAGTTAATTCTAATGTGCAGCAAGTTTGGGAACCACTGGGTTATGTCAAAATAAAAGACAAATGCTCTGTCTGTGACTGAGTTGGAAGACTGAGGGCTGGTTAGAGTATGTAGGAAATCCTTTCAATTGTAGCTTAGCCCAGAAAGGATGATCACATTTCTAAATGCATTTTTGGATACTGTAAAATGGAAATGGATGCTGAAGTTGGGGGTGAAAACTGTAAGCTGAAATACCAAGTTCTTTTGATTTTTATGTACACTTTTTTATAGTTCAGTAATTACCAGTATAAAAGCCATTTTTAATATTTCCTCTGTCATTTCTCAGAAAACCACCTCACCATCAATATAATTGCTGTAGCTACTTTGTTTTCCTTCTCTATACAGTAATTTTATTCTGTTTGACTTGTGTCTTAACAGTAAATCTGGCCATTCTAGAACTTAAAATGTTAATCTGCCTTAGGCTACTCCTGGCTACTTTTAATTTGCCCTTCCATTATGTTGCCAAGTTACATTTTATGATAAAACATTTCAAATACATTAGTATAGAGAATAGTGTAATAAGTGTCCTTGAACCCGTAATCCAGCTTCAACAATTACTGATTCGTGGCCACTCTTATTTCACCTGTGAACACCCTCCCCGTTTCCTGGATTGTTTTAACGCTAACCCCAGACCTATTTCATCCATAAGTATTTCACCTGGGGATAAAGACTCTTAACCGTAATACCCTTATCCCACCTATAAAGCTAACATTTTCTTAATATCAAATACCATGTTGGTGTTAGAATTTCTCCAATTTCTCATGGTGCTTTACAGCTGGTTTGCTTGAAACAGAATCCAGACAAGGATGACCCATGGCATGTCGTCTTTTAAGTCTCCCATAATTTCCCCACTTTATTCTTTTTTTTTTTTAAAGTTTTATTACTTCTTTTGTTGTTGTTGTTGTTGTTGAGGAAGATTGGCCCTGAGCTAACATCTGTGCCCATCTTCCTCTATTTTTTGTATATGGGACGCCACCACAGCATGGCTTCATGAGGGGTGCGTAGGTCCATGCCACAC